TTCAGGCAGAGTGGTTGGTGTGTCACTGCTGGTGTGTCACCTGCTGACCCCAGCTTCTGGAATGAGCCCCGGGGGACACAGAGCCTGGAGTCAGAGCCAGCATGAGGGGGGGCCGGGGCCTGCCTGTTTTGCAGTGGGATTGCAGGACAGGGATGGAGACAGAGGGTGGAGCTGTGGGCAGACTGCAGAGAGAGAGCAGCAACCTTCTGGTCCCGGCTCCACCCTGACCTTGTTGTGACCTTGGCCTTCTCTGCCCTGGACGTGCCTCTTGTCCTGCTTGTGCCATGAGCTCATGCCGCAGGACTCTGGCCTCTGAAGTTTGCTACTGGCCCATGTGGGTGGCGGGGTCAGCCTCTCCTCTGCCTCTTTTTGATGTCATCGTGTTTAGAGAGGCCTCCCATGCACAATGTTCCCGGACAAGTGCTTCCCACCTGGTGATGCAGGGATTGGTTCACTGTCCCTGGAGAGTCCCTGCTGCTCTGTCATCCTGAGCATGGTGCCCCTCCACCCAGGAGAGGCCATCCAAGCCTCCCTGCCCAGCACAGGAGGAGAGTTCCCGTCGACCCAGCAGTCATCTTGACCATCTGGGCATGAGGTCAGCGGGGCCTGGAAACTCCCCGCTTCTTTCTTTGTCTTCTTTCTTCCACAAGTCCAGGCCCTGCTGTGGGCGGCTCCTCTGCTGTCCAGAGAGGGTTTTCCCACCAGGTGGTGCTCCCCAGTGTCCTTGCCCAGTGTTTGGCAGCCAGGCCTCTGCACTGAGACTCAAAGGGAGCAGAACACCCCTATCTGCCCCCCTGCTTTGCTTCCCAGGGACCCCTTTATCCATGGGTTGCCCAGGGCCGAGATAGATGAGGCATTGCATGGTTTGGAGAACTGGAAGGTGGGGTTTGTTTCCTGTGGCCCACATCCTGCTCTGTCGCTTGGCCATGTATCTGGGCATCTGTGTGCCAGCCCTGATCCCTTGCAGGTTGATGTGCAAAGCATCTCTGGCCAGGGTATCTGGCCAGGTCCTCCCTGGGATGCTTGGACCTGGTCTCACAGCTCGTGGCATCAGGTCAAGGGCTCCTCTGTCCGTCCTTTCAGCCTCTCTGCTGTGAATTGGAGGTTTCTGGAGGCCCTGCTTTGGGCACTTGCAAGATTTTCTACTACTTAAGGTGAGGCATTGGCCCCTATTCCCGTGGGGCTTCTGATCTACTGGGTAGTCTGCCATGGAGTCAGAAGTCACCCACATCACAGCTTGGTGTTAATTCTGAGTTTGGTATAGGCACATGCAGAGTAAGGGGCAGGAACCGGGACACTTGCTGCCACTTCCCCTTCCAGGTGGCACCAAGTGCCGCCAGCCCTCGGTATCCCCACTTGGGAAGTCATTTCAGTTCTCTCTCTCTCTCTCTTTTTTTTTTTTTTTTTGACAGGCAGAGTGGACAGTGAGAGAGAGAGAGACAGAGAGAAAGGTCTTCCTTTTTGCCGTTGGTTCACGCTCCAGTGGCCGCCGTGGCCAGTGCGCTGCGGCCGGCGCATCGCGCTGATCCGAAGCCAGGAGCCAGGTGCTTCTCCTGGTCTCCCATGCGGGGTGCAGGGCCCAAGCACTTGGGCCATCCTCCACTGCACTCCCGGGCCATAGCAGAGAGCTGGCCTGGAAGAGGGGCAACCGGGACAGAATCCGGCTCCCCGACCGGGACTAGAACCCGGTGTGCCGGCGCCGCAAGGCGGAGGATTAGCTTATTGAGCCACGGCGCCGGCCCATTTCAGTTCTCGATGATGGCCTGCCTCCCTGGACAGGCAGGTGGCAGTCATGCCAAGCTGGGGAAGGCTTGTTCTTACCTCAGGAAGCCTTCAGCCAGGTGGACAAATGCTGACGCTGGTCAGGTGCCTGCCCCTGGGGTGGCTAGGCATGTGAGGAGGACAAGCAGACAGGGAGGCATCCCTGTCTGATGGCATTTTTGAGCACCTTACTGTATGCGCATCATTGTGCTAAGTGCTTCACCCACGTGGTCTCTATTGATTCAGCGGATACCTCTGTGCTGTGTTGCTCTGCTGGGTAACACTGACCTTTCAGATTAAAAGCAGGTCTCACCCCTAAGTGAGTAATGACTTTTGTGCTGGGTGTGTGGGCCCACTATAAGTTAATCAGCTTTTGCTGGAGGGGCTCCTGTGCAGCAGAACTTTGTATTTCTGGCCCTTTCCACTTGGGGCAGAAATCCTTGTTAGTTCCTGGGCTTCTGACAGGGCAGGGAAAGCAGCCCCAGGGTTATCTGATAGCCCAGCGCTACCCTTCACACAGACATGCACTGTCTGTCTGCCTGGCCTGTGTGCAGGGGCGTTCAAGTCTCAGCCTTGGAGGCAGGCAGGGCAGAGCTTGCCGTAATCACAGCTCAGTGTCTTCAGCTCTCTGAGCCTCAGGCTTCTCCCCAAGAACACAGGGCTCTCAGAGCAGTTTTGCAGCCTTTCTGAGCTGATGGATCTGCAGCTTTTCTCACAGGGCCTAGCAAATGACTGGTTCCTAGAGAGTGGAATTTTCGCTCTTTGCTCTCTCTGAGAACTGTGTGGGTTTGAAAGCACCTTGGAGGATTCTTGATTGAAATAGTTGTGCTTTGGGAGTGGTGATCTTGGGAGGGAGGTTTTGGGGCCCCTGAATCCTCAGTTCTCTAAGAAGAGAGATTGAGAGCTGTGCCTTGTTTCTGAGCTGTTTGTAGAGCTGTTGGCTGCATCTGCTTTTCAGCCTCAGGGCCTTTGCCCCTACTGTTCTCTGTGCCTGGTATATATTTTTTTAAAATATTTATTTATTTATTTGAAAGTCAGGGTTACACAGAGAGAGGAGAGGCAGAGAGAGAGAGAGGTCTTCCATCTGATGGTTCACTCCCCAATTGGCCACAATGGCCAGAGGTGCGCCAATCCAAAGCTAGGAGTCAGGAGCTTCTTCCAGGTCTCCCATGCGGGTGCAGGGGCCCAAGGACTTGGACTATCTTCCATTACTATCCCAGGCCATAGCAGAGAGCTGGATTGGAAGTAGAGCAGCTGGGTCTCGAATTGGCGCCCATATGGGATGCTGGCGCTTCAGGCCAGGGCGTTAACCCACTGTGCCACAGCGCCAGCCCCAGCCTGGTGTATTCTTTACAGATATCTTCCTGGCTAGTTCCCTCACCCAACTCAGGTCTTTGCTAAATTAGCTCCATGAGGACTTTCCTATCTGCTCCACTTAAAACTGAAGTCTGCCTCCTCCTTCCCTGCTGAATTTGTCCATGGACTTTTATTTTTATTATTTATTTATTTATTTGACAGGTAGAGTTATAGACAGGGAGAGAGAGAGAGAGAGACAGAGAGAAAGGTCTTCCTTCTGTTGGTTCACTCCCAAATGGTCACTATGGCCAGCGCTGCACCAATCTGAAGCCAGGAGCCAGGAGCTTCTTCTAGGTCTCCCATACAGGTGCAAGGGCCCAAGGACTTGGGCCAACTTCCACTGCTTTCCCAGGCCACAGTAGAGAGCTGGGTTGGAAGTGGAGTAGCCGGGAGTTGAACCGGTGCCCATATGGGATGCTGGCACTGGGCAGCTTTACCCGCTATGCCACAGCACCGGCCCCTGTCTGTAGACTTTTAAAAACATATTTATTTATTTGCAAGGCAGAATTAGAGAGGGTCAGACACAGAGAGATCTTCCATCTTCTGATTCACTCCCCACATGACTGCAACAGCAGGGGCTGGGCCAGGCCAAAGCCAGGAGGCAGGAACTCTATCCAGGTCTCCCACATAGGTGACAGAGGCCGGAGCAGTTGGGCCATTTTCTGCTGCTTTCCCAGGCGCAGTAGCCAGGAACTGGATCGGAAGTAAAGCAGCAGGACTCAAAGCAGCACCTATATGGGATGCCAGTGTCGCAAATGGTGTCTACACCCGCTGCACCACGACACTGGCCCCATCATAGACTTTTTTTTTTTATCACCTGAAATACTGCGTTCTGCAGCATCCCCTAGTGCCTCCTCCACTAGGATATGACCTCCACTGAGGGTTTCTGTCTGTTAGGTTTGCTGATGATTCCCCAGCACCCAGAGGACTCCCCTGACAGGATGTATGTTCAAGAAGTAATTGTTGACTGAATGCATGAATGGATGAATGGAGAGTTTCTCTTCGAAGTCACAGAAGTAGGATTCGCAAATCGCTGAACAGGGTGGTTTCCAACAAAACAGAGCAGATGCGATTGGGCAGATTCATGCAGAAAACCTGATGTACAAATAGAGAGTGGCCTGATGGAAAATTCATCTGTTCATCAGAACTGGTGGGGCCAGGCCATGCGTGAGCCGAGACCGAAGGAGGAAGAGGCAGGGCATTAAATATTAGTCAGGGTTTTTTTTTGCCTTCCTCTTTTTTTTTTTCAGAGGTTGACATACATATAAAGGTACCTTTTGATTGGATTGACTTGCTTAGCCCTTAGGGTACAAGCATTTCAGTTTAAAGATCACTGATTTACTTTCAGACTTTCGTTTCCCATCCTCAGGGAGGGGAAGGGACTGCCCGGCCTCCGCAGTGGGTTCTTGGCATGGCCGTTCCTTCACTTGGTAGGTGTGCTCGCTGGGTACTTGCTGCCGAGCTCACACTGTGCTGGGCACTGAGGATCCAGTGGTGGGAGAACAGATAGGGTCTCCGTCCTGCCAGCTTTCAAGTGCAGAACACGCACTCCCACTTCTGGGCTGCAAACCCCGGTTCTCTCTTGTAGCCTACATGGCACCCTGTGGTTGATGGCAGTTCAATGAAGCAGCAGTGCAGTGAGGCTGCTGAAAGAAATGCATGCCATGCTTAGGTTGTATTCATAGAAGCAGAGTGTCCGGATTGAAGCAGGTGCCCGTCTGCCTGTCTTGTTCTGCTGTACCGTGGTCAGACCGGCCTGGAGTGCTGCATTCCATTCTGGGTTATGGGTTCTGTCTTCTGCAGCATTAGCAGACTAGAGCTTCCCCCAGAAGGATGCCCAGTGGCCTGGCCAGCCCCCTGATGTACTGCTGTTGTCCTTACAGCCAGGCAGGCGCCACGGCAGGGGCTGCGCCACTCTCATGGAAGGGAGAGGACCGTACCGGATCTACGACCCTGGGGGCGGCGCGCCTCCAGGAGAGGCGTCCGCAGCTTTTGAGCGCCTAGTGGAGGAGAATTCCCGGCTGAAGGAGCAAATGCAAGGGATAAAGATGTTAGGTAAAGCAGACCCCGCACCTCCCTGTGATGCCAGCCCCTCTGCCCAGCAGTGCCAGCGGGCACCTGCCTCTGTCCACATCATTCCTCTGACCTCCTGGCCCAGTGCTGGCCCCTGCCCCGCAGCTGTGTCTTCATGCACACCTGTAGCTTGGTGACATATTGCCAGCCCTGATACCTGCCATGCCAAATATCCTAAAATGGCCCAGAGGGAGATGAGGAGAGGGAGCTGGAAGGCTTCATCTTCCTGGGGCACCAGAGAAGGGGAGAGCCAGCATCGCCAAGGACGGCCAGGGTGCGCGTCCCCAGGGGTTGGGGCCGGCCGCAGAGCTTGGCTTGCATCAGGTGGCAGTGGGCCCCTTGATTTCTCTTTGGGTTTCTGAGTTGTCCCCGTGCACCAGCATTCAGCTCAGATGCCAGTCCTCCTCCTTGCGAGGTCCTCATTGACACCCCTCTTATAAAAGGGTCTTTCTTTTCTGTCCACTCATCAGCTCTTCCCCTGCCCTGTGCCCTCTCTCTGGTCTCGGGTGTTGCAGGCGAGCAGGGCTTCCTGGGTTTCTAAGTGCTTTCTCCTGGCCTGGCAGACCCGTGCTTGGGGTGGCAGGCTGGGGAGGGAGGCGCAAGTTTCCCCTTCTCAAGGTGTAAGAGAAGAGAAACTGAGGCCCTAAGGCCTGAGAGTGTGACCCAGGACCTCCATCCTGCGGCCATCTCCAGACTTGGGGGCTCAGGCCCTGCGTAGCCCCTGGGTGCCTTGGTGGTAGACCTGAGGGAGCCCCTAGCTTTCTGTGGAGTCTGCTGGCAGGGTGGGCAGGCCGTGGGCCAGGAAGAGGGTGCCAAGCATCAGGACTTCTTGAGCTCCCTTCCACCCCTGCTTTCCCCCGAGTGCCAGATCTTCCTCCTGACCACAGCCTGGTTCTGGAGGTGGTCAGGATGGGCTTTGTCCCACCCCGCCCACCACCAGACCATGGTGGGAGTGGAGTCCAGGGCCTGGAGTCTTGAAAGCCAGGCAGAGCAGGGACGGGGTGTGGGGTGGGGAGCCCAGGGCCCCGAGCTGAGTCAATCCTTTCTGCCTTGTCTCTCCAGGGGAGCTCTTGGAAGAGTCCCAGATGGAAGCGTCCAGGCTGCGGCAGAAGGCGGAGGAGCTGGTGAAGGACACTGAGCTGCTCCCACCACCTTCTCCCCCCTTGGGCTCCTTTGACCGCCTGGCCGAGCTCACAGGTACCCCCGACTGCCTAACCCTTCGTAGTGGGCTCCCTTCTCGTTCTCGTTCTGAAAGGAGAACATCCTTGGGCCCCAGACCTGGGCCCTGGACCAGCTGTCCAGAAAGTCAGATGTGGAAGGCACTTCAAAACAGTCTTGTTAATAATGGCCAGGGACTCAGCAGTCCTGAGGCCCAGTTAGATCTTAGCAATAGATCACAACAACCCTCTGCACCCCACGGTCTTTATCTAACACGTATTAATGGGCAATGACTGTGCGCCAGGCATGGTGCTCCAGGCACTGTCTCCCTCTCCTCTGTAGTTAGGGAAGCTGAGACCCAGGGGAGAATCTGGACTTGCCTGCTTTTTGCCTGCTGCCGTGCAGTTCAGGTGCAGGGTTACCTGTGCTGCATAGTAAAGGGAAGGGTGGCTGTGACTGAGGTTGCAGCCCTGTGTGTGGTGGCCATGCCTTACCCGGGCATGCCTCCAAGTCCAGGACAAGGTGTGGGACCAAGGAGGAGGAGGCCTCACATGCAGGACTTAGGGGCCTCCTGATCAGCTCTGCCTTTGGGTCTCGGCCCAGGCTGGTGTGCTGAACTTCATTTGTGGAGTGGACAAGTGGAGAGAAGTGATGGTCACAGAGTCCCCTATGCTGTGGTCAGTGGGCATTCCAGCTTCCCCTTGTCCACTCAGCAGGATTTCCGAGTCCCTGCCTGGTGCCAGGCCCCCTCCCAGAGGAAGCCAAGTAGCTTCCCTCAAGGGCTCTCTGTGGCCAGAGCCCCAGGGGCCTGGGGAAGGAGAGCCGACTTTGAGTCCTGATTTTGCAGTTGCTAGCTGGCGACTGTGGGCAGGTGGTCACCTTACCAAGCTTCCATTTCCTTGCCTGGAAAATCAGGATATGAGAATGTAAATAGGCTTTGCTAATCAGAAACCATTGTCCTTGTCATCGTTGGCAGTGGCTCCATCGAGCAGTGGCCTCCTTGGGCTTTTCCCACGAAGTCCAGGAAAGAGAATTCCTCTGCCCAGGACCTGCCCCCGCCATCTCAGGGCTGGTTGTCTGCATGGGCTACCTGGTCCTGAGGGGACCCCTTCCGTTTTCCTGGGCTCAAGTGGGGAACTGTGAAAGAGGCCCTTCTGCCAGGGCCTGTCCTCGAGAGAGTGTCATCTGGGCCCCTGCCTTCCCCATTCATCCGTGCTCTCTTGATCCTCCAGGAAAGAACACTGATGTCCTGGCTCCTTCAGCCGCACCTGCAAGCCCCCGTGACAAGCCAGCCCCAGTGCCCAAACCTCCATCCAGCGTAAGTTGCCTTTGGAGCCGTGATTAGAGGTTGCCTGGACCTCAGGATACCCCTGGCAGATACAAGACCGTGAAGAGGGTCGTGGTCAGATTCTGACTTTGTGGTGACATGGGCAAGTCACCAGTTTGGGGGCCTCACTCCCCATTTTGAAATGAAAGTCATAATTAAAACCTACCAGGAAGGGCTGGCGCCGCGGCTCACTAGGCTAATCCTCCGCGTAGCGGCGCCGGCACACCGGGTTCTAGTCCCGGTCGGGGCGCCGGATTCTGTCCCGGTTGCCCTTCTTCCAGGCCAGCCCTCTGCTGTGGCCAGGGAGTGCAGTGGAGGATGGCCCAGGTGCTTGGGCCCTGCACCCCATGGGAGACCAGGAAAAGCACCTGGCTCCTGGCTCCTGCCATCGGATCAGCGCGGTGCGCCGGCCGCAGTGCGCCGGCCGCGGCGGCCATTGGAGGGTGAACCAACGGCAAAGGAAGACCTTTCTCTCTGTCTCTCTCTCTCACTGTCCACTCTGCCTGTCGAAAACAGAGAGAGAGATAGCAATACTACCAGGAAGACCGTGGGCCACACCAGAACTTGGTCTCCTTGGCTGCGTGGCATATTTAGTGTGCACTGACCATACAGAAGTGATGTGGTGCTCATTCTCAAAGATGGCTCGGCAGTCGTCTTGCGCAGATTTGACCAGAGGGGTTTTGCTGCTGTCCTAGGGCAATCCAGGGAATTGTAGGACTTAGTGTCTTCACCCTGCAGGTCAGGTCCAGCAAGAAGGCTGCTTGTGAGATCCCACAGGTGATGCCAAGGGGGAAAGGGGACTTTCTAGGGCAAGGTTGAGACCCTCCATGGCCATGAGGCTAGGCTGGAAGCCAGGCACAGAGCTGTCCTCGGCGTCCTACCCTGGGCTGGAGTGAGGAGAGGCTGAGCTAGTCCTGGTAACCCAGAGGCAGCTGCTTGCTCTGGCGTCCCATCAGCCCATCAGTTGGTTGAGCAATCACAGAGTTCTACTTGGAATGCCTGTGAGGCGTGGAAAGGCCGCTTGTTGGCTGAACAATCTGTAGGCCTTTCTTCAGCTCAGTCCGCTCGTCTGGGGTCCCTGGGACTCGGGGTGGCAAGGCAGGCCGGGGACCTTGCTTGGCTGTTGTCTGTGTTCCCTGGGAGGCAGGCGGAGACGTCTAGGCCCAGGGCACAGCCCTGGGGCTGCAGTAGGAATGCTGGCTCCACAGTCTTGGGTTCAGTCCCTGCCTTTGCATTCACGAACTCAGTGACCTCCTTCCCGCTCTGTGGCTGCCTTGAGAAATGATCGTGTTCATGGGAAGGTTTTAAATGTACAGGCCTTAAGGAATCACAAGCCTGAAGTGCTGGCAGTTCACGGGTAGCTAGTGCAGCAGCCCTGTAGTGCAGATGAGGAGATTGGCCTTTGAGGGGATGTGTCCCCAGATCCCCCCCGGTTAGGGCAGCCTTGCCGGGAGTGCTGCCTCAGGCTCCCTGGGAACCGACAGGTGGCTGTGCCTGGGAGTTCCCCAGAGTGGGCCGTCTGCAGGAGTTGGATCGGGAGGAGGTCTTTCCTCCAGGCCTCTATGCCCTTGAGCTGCCCTCCACAGTGGGACCCCGAGGAGGCTGGGCTGGTTTTCTCCTGGGCAGCCGCTGACTCCCTCTCTGCACAGGGCACCTCCTCTGAGTTTGAAGTGGTTCCTGCTGAGGAGCAGAGTTCTCCACCTGACAGCAGCGCCTGCGCCAGAAACACCATGGTGAGTAGACAGGCAGGCCCCTGCCATGTCCCCTCCTTCCTCTCTGCCTTCCTCTGTCTCGGTCACAGGCTCCTTCGTGAGAGACTCAGTAAGTGCCCCTGGGGATCCTGGGGTCACGTGGGGACTCAGAGGGGCAGGTCCAGAGAGTGCTTCTCGCTCACATATGCAAATCCCAGGCTGGTGACTTCCCCAACGCAGGGCACGCAGGCATCCGACTCTTGTGAAAGCCTGGGCGCTTCGCCAGCCCTGCTGGCCTCTGCCACGAGCCGGACATCACACACACAGTGACTCATCCCTCAGGTCTGGGGGCTGCTAGCGTGGGGAGTGCGGGGGTCAGAAAGGCCCAGAGCCACCTAACGTGGAGGATTTCACTCTTGTGCAGGCTCTAGGCCTCTCAGGGTCCCCCCGGGGGCACATAGGGAAGAGGTTAAGCTGCACACGTGCACATGTGCATACACGTGTGTACATGTACACATGCACACTCACAGAATCTCCCAGTTCTGGGAATTCTTTGAATTCTGTACTTTACTGCCCATTTGCTGTTATCCCAGCTATGTCGTCCTTCTGTTCTTTCTTAAAATGACCAGAATTATTGGACAATCACTGAGGAGGGTCTGGAAGATTGTTCGGAGGTCTTAACTTCCTATGTTCTCCTCCTGTCTCCCTTCCCACTTTGAGGGTTTTTTTTTTATTGTTGCTATGTGAGCAACAATATTTATTTATTATTTTCATCTACTTGAAAGGCGGCAGTCTGGGGGTCTAACCCATCACTGATATTTTGGTCCCCTGCTTTGTTTCGCAAAAGATTTGGGTGGCAGAGTTGCTCTTTGGTTCACTGCCTGCTTCCCATGTCTCTGGGTCCTCAGGGAACAGCCCTTGTCCCTGACTGTGCAGCCTTATATTTATCTGTTTTTTCTCGTTTCTGTAAGATTTATTTATTTACTTGAGAGACATAGTTAGAGATACACAAAGAGAGGTCTTCTATCTGCTGGTTCACTTCCCAAAAGGCCACACCAACCTGAGCAGCGCCAGTCTGAAGCCAGGAGCCAAGAACTTCTTCCAGGTCTCCCAGGTACTAGGTGGTAGTTAATCTTCCACTGCCTTCCCAGGCCATCAGCAGGGTGCTGGATCAGAAGTGGAGCAGCCGGGACTTGAACCCGCGCTGCAGGCAGTTTACAGGAGGCTACTACGCCACAGTGCCAGTCGGACTGCAGCTTGTACTTGGCATTCCCCCAGTGACGAGAGGCTCATCCAGCACTGGGCAGCTCTGAGTGTTAGAAATGTTCCCTGTTTCAGTCTGCTGGGACCCTATGTTCCTTGTCCTGTTCTGGCCCCTAGGACGATGGCCCAGGAGGCAGGGTTCCCTGTTAAGACAGTGTTTCACTTTTTGGCCATGGGCCAGTAACCTTATCTCATTGATAGATTCCTCCTTGGCCCAACAATGTGCCTGGTCTGTGCCGAGACAAGACAAGATAGACGCCCCCCACCCTCTGAAGCTTGAAATCAGAGGGATTTGAAACACTTCAGGTGCCCTAAATAGGATGGCATTGTCATCTCAGCTCATTGCTGGAGAGAAACAGTAGGGAACCAAGGCCAAACTGCGAAACCACCATTGTCTCTTATCAGAACATGGCATTAACAATAAGAAAAAGCCTTCACTGAGTGCCAGGTTGCTACAGAGTTCAGGGAAGCTGGAGGTCAGCCTGGCAGAGAACTGGATCATGAGTCAGGGAACCCAGTTCTAGTCCTCACTCGGCAGTGACTCCCTGGGCAGCCAAGGGCGAGTTCCTGCTCCTATACCTGAAGTCCCTGAAGCTCAGATGTCATGTGGGTCCCATAGATGTTTAGGCAAGTCAGGTGGAGGGGCTGAACTGTGGCAGCATGGGAGGGGGCAGCAGGCCTTGCAGAGGCAGGGACCTGTGGGAAGGAGCCTAGAGAGGTACAGAGGCTCAGGCGAGGAAGGTGGGGAACCCGGCTGGATGCTGCTGCACATGAGACCCCTGCTGAAGGCCTTAGTGCCTGGTGGGGGATCTGGGCTTGATGGAACGAGCAGAAAGGTACCACTGTGACTCCTTGGGCGTGGTGTTGGCTTACCTAAGGCAGGGCCATTGGTAGGAGTGTTCTAGACAGAATGAGGAGGGGGAGGTTTGTGGGGATGGGGGCAGAGACATCTGTCTTGCCAGTAGGCCTCATTCTTTATATACTTTACCCACTGGGATTCTTGGAAATCACTGGAACTGTGATTCTTAACCTGCTTTGAGTCTTGGGTCATCTGAGAAGCTGATGAACGCTTGGATCCATTGACCTGAGCTGTGGAGGTTCTCTGGGCTCCAGGAGCAGTGGTAATCTGCAGGGATCCCTTCCCAGGGCTTGCTGCTCTCCTGTGGATCCCTCCTCCTCAGACCCTGCCGGGTGCAAGGGATGCAAGGGAAGTGTGCACCTCTGGCAGATGACGAGGCTGGGGCCCTGCAGCCGGTGATGCATCCCAGGCATGCCACCGGGCCCAGCGTGTGGGAGGAAGGTGGCCCTGCTGCTGTGAAGCCAGCCAGTGGCCTAGGAATCCCAGGTCCTGCCCAGTGAGTCAGCCTGAGACAGGGAACCTGTGCAACTGTAGAATTTCCCCGGGCTGAGCTGAGGCCACAGGGAAACTGAGTCATGAAGAATAGGGAAGCAGAGGGCGAATGGGGTGGTGCACCTTCTCAGGCCCTGGTGAAGGGTGGCCCGTGTCTCCCATCCCCCACAGGCGCTGGGCCCCATGCCTCCTGAGGACAGCAACCTGATGCTGCACCTGCAGCGGCTGGAAACTACCCTGAGCGTGTGCGCCGAGGAGCCCGACCACAGCCAGCTCTTCACCCACCTGGGCCGCATGGCCCTTGAGTTCAACCGGCTGGCCTCCAAGGTGCACAAGAACGAGCAGCGCACCTCCATCCTGCAGGTGAGGCGGGCCTGCGGCACTGCCAGGGCCACTTCTCCCCTGGGTCCCGGCTGTTCTAGGGGCCCAGGGGCACTGTGTGGCAGACAGACTTTGGGCTTCTAATCAGAGTGGTCAGGAAGGTAAGGAAGTTGTGGGAAGGGATGGAGGAAGAGGAAGGAAATGGGGAAATACAGGGCAGGCAATGCAAATTGTGTGGCCGGGGATGCCCTCGCGGCTGGAGATGGGACCAGGGGTGCTGACCTGCTTTTGATCTTCAGGTGCAGGGGAGGGGAGGGAACAAAGGGCAGCTCCTTGCATGTTCTGGGCTGCGGCATCCTTACCCCATGTCGCAGTGGGAAACAGCCTGCCGAGGTGGTTGCTCTTTGCCCAGGGTCATCCTTGATCTGCCAGAGTCCAAAGCCTGGGTCCTTCACCCCTATCCCCAGCTGCCTCCCCATTGAATTGCTTTCAGTAGCTGTGTTGTGCTGTGCTGTGGCGTGGTCAGATTTCCTGGCTAGACTGGGCCAGGCTTTTCGCAGTTCTGTGGGCCTCTGTTGCAGTAGGGACTGATTCTGTTTGCCGTGTGGCCTTAGACAGATCCCTCTATGGTCTGTGAAGATCCTATTTCAGTGTAGAGCATGGTAAATTCTGGAAAAGCAGTCACCATCAAGTTTTGATGATAATGAGCATCTGTACTGGCAGGAGGTTTTAGGCCTGAGGGCTTTGGGAGGTGCAGAGGATTCGCCTACAATTGGTGACCATTCTGAACCTGGTGTAACTGAGGCCCCAGCAGGACAGGACCTACTTGGGATCTGAGCACCTGGCACCACAGTGGTTCCCGAGAGAACTGGCTCTGGGCCCCTCAGTCATTGGTCTGTGATCTCAGTCGTGTCAGCAGACATTCAAGTCCCAGGTGACAGGAGGGAGAGGCTGTCCGGCTGGGGCTTACAGGCCACCCCTCCCACCTTGAGGCTGGTGCAGCGATAGGAGCGTGCTGTGGAGGGCGGGGCCTCCTCAGAGGCTGGTGAGGCTCTGAGGGGTCCAAGCCAAGCTCAGGAAAGGTGAACCAGGTGCACCGTGAGGACTGAGATCCAGGGCCTCCTAGCAGGGCCCCCCCCCCCCCCCCGTACCATTTTCCATCAGGCACCTGCTTGTTTCCTTCTTAGCTCTTACTGTCGTTCTTTACTAGGTGGTTTATTTGCTTAATTGTTTTTCTTGAACTCCTTGCCAGAATGTCACAACAGGGGCAGGTACCTTGTCCCCCACATTCACCCTGGTGTCCTGGGGCCGGGCACTTCATGCACATTTGGTGAATGAATGAATGAGTGAAAGAATGAACTCTTGTTAGCCCCTTTGATAGAAAGTAATGATCTTGGTGATCTCCGATGATCTCGTCATTGCCCAGAGACACCAGGGAGACGGGACAGGCAGGAAGCGCCCTGGCCAGCGACGGGACATCCTGTTCCCGGGCGGCCCCTGCCAGCACAGCATCCTGGGCCTCCTGCCTCCTGCAGGTGGAGATAGAGAAGCCCAGGTCCCTGTCATTCGGTCATTGCTTCGCTTCTCGGCTCACTCACCATTTCCATGGCCACATTGGTCCAAGGTCCTCTGCTGGGCACGGAGGGAGCCAGTACCGGTAGTCTTGTCTTTCCTGAGCCCTGGGGCCCCACTGTGTGAGCGACCTCTGGCTCCAGGCTGTCTCCCCAAGGCTGGCCTGCATGAGTCAGAAAGGAAACAAACGCCCTGAAATCCCCCTGGTAACGTGGAGGAGTTTGCCCTCCTCTTCTGTGAGGCTCCATCCTGCTCTGCCCTGGTGCTTGAAGCTCCAGGCCTCGGAGGCCCCCACATGGTGCCCTGTGGAGTGTGAGGAGTCCTTGGTGGCCCCCACCGCAGGCAAAGAGACAGCAGAGAGTGCCGCACATGTGGACTACCCTGAAGTGACGCGTGTCGCTTTTGTTTGCCTGGAGTAGTCATGTGGTCACACGCAACTGCAGGGAGCCTGGGGAGCAGAAGGGGGAGTCCTGGCCTTGCCCACAGCCCAGCCCGCAGGGGAGAGGGGGAGAGAGACCCAGCCTTGCACCTGCAGGTGGGAGTGTGGTGCTCGTGGTGATTCTTCTTTGTTTTATTCCTTTTCATTTCTTCTTTGAAAGGTAGACAGATGGACACACACACACACAGAGGGGGAGAGAGATCTCCCATCTACTGGTTTGCTCCTTAAACGCCCATGATAGCCGGGACTGGGCCAATCCGACGTCCCCTGTGGGTGGCAGGGACCCAGGTACTTGAGCCACCAGCACTGCCTCCCAGGAAGCTGGGACTCACTCCCAAGCACTCCAGTATGCTTTCCGGTGCTTTGACTTTATGCAGATGGTTCTCCCTCATTTCCCAGCTGTGGAGATGCAGATGTTGTGAGGTGCCAACAAGGCAGTTCCTGGGCCAGTGCCCAGCGACAGTGCTGGCAGGTGCGGGGCGCTAGTGAGTGGTTGTTGGAAGACAGGAACCCTTGTCCCCGTTTTGTAGAGGAGGGCAGTCTCAGAGATGCAGCGTGGGCCACATGGTGTGGGCGTGGTGAGGCCTTGTGGCTTTCTCACTGGCCACCCTGGAAACCTCTCCTGCTTTGGGGGTGCTGAGCTCCCCGGCCTCCTGGGACTCACCTGGGCAATTGTCCCCACATCCGTGCAGCCGTTGATCTCTGCGTTCCTCCAACACAGTAAGCTGGGGCTGGGGAGCTGGCAGGGAGCAAGAAAGTGGGAGAGCTCACTGGCCAGTGAGGTTGAGGAGGATGGGGAGTAGGAAGTGGCCCACACAGCTCCTTGGCTGTGCTTGTCCTAAGAGCTAAAAAGCAGCAAAGGCAGGGCTGGGTGCTGGGCTGATGGAGGTGTTAACTGCTGGATGAGGGACTTAGGGAGGACTTCTTGGAGGAGACAGCATTTCAACTAAAGCTTGAAGGAGGAGGGGGAGTTGACCAGGGAGGCTGGTGGGGAAGGGTGTTGTAGGCATGCAAACAGCAGAGAGAGGGGAACATGTGCCCACTGTGACTTGGGGGACCAGTGGGTCCCAAGGCTGTTCTCCATCAGGCCTCCTCACAGCCGGCTCCCAAGGGACAGTGTATCCAAGAGAGTGTGTCCCAAAAAGGAGTGGGCGAGGCCACAGCGGGTAAGGTGTTGGGACCTGCAGTGGCTGCCGCCATCCGTCCAGTCGCAGCCTGCACTGGGGATGTCCCCTCTTGACCCTCGCCACCTATCTGCCCTGCAGACCCTGTGTGAGCAGCTTCGGAAGGAGAACGAGGCCCTGAAGGCCAAGCTGGACAAGGGCCTGGAACAGCGAGACCAGGCTGCTGAGAGGTTGCGGTGAGTCCAGGCCCCCAGGAGAAGGGCAAGGATCCCTGCTTGGATATCGGATCTCGTGCCTCTGGTCCTTTTAATACCTTGGGGTGTGTGTATTCTCGGAGCCTGAGAGTCAGAAGGAAGTTGCTTCAGATTGCACCCCTCCCTTGAGAACTTGTTGCCTTAGCCTCTTAGCACTTGTCCCACCAGCTGGGAGACAGCGCATGGACTCTGCCGCCCCCTGCTGGTCACCATCCTGTCCTGCCCTCTCCCCTAAGGGCTTCACAGGACCGGCAGGCAGCCTTGTGTCTAGAGATGGCAGTACAATTTTGTGCTCCTGCCCCTGCCTCCTTGTGAGATTCTGAGCTGGCGTTTTGGAGAGAGATCTGGGATACTGCATCACCCCAGGAAGTCTGAGAAGCACCCACCCTGACTGGAGAGCTTGAAGGGCCCCTGAGATCATACAGGCCAAGTCCCCCTGTCCAGAGCAGAGGCTGAGGCCCAGACTTGATTTGAGCCCCATAACGAGAACCTGAGTCGCCCACCTGCCTGTGGTCCTGGGTGATTTGGGTGATGGGTCATCTCTTGGGAACCAGCAGAGTTCTGAGTTACAGCCAGCACCTGCCAGCTGATCCCCCTACACCCTGTGGCTTGTTAGAATCACACAGGGAAGGAAGCTGAATTGCTCAGATGTAGTCAGAGTAATGTTTAACTATTGAGCCACTGTGCCATTTTGTTTTTAAATTTTTTTTAAAAAAATTATTTATTTATTTGAAAGAGTTATAGAGAGAAGGAGATATGTGCGCTGGTTCACTCCTCAGATGGCTATAATGACCAGGGATGGTCCAGGCCAATCAGGTGCCAGGAACTTTATGCAGGTCTCCCCCAAGGGTGTTAGGGCTCCAAACGCTTGGTTCGTCTTCCACTACTTTTCCAAGGCCAGTAGCAGGGAGCTGGATGGGAAGTGGAGCAGCCGGGACATGAACTGGCATCCATATGGTGTTGCAGGCAGCAGCTTTACCTGTTATGCCACAATGCTGATCCCTGTTTTTTAATTTTTTAAATATTTATTTGAAAGGGAGAGAAAGGGAGAGGGGGAGAGGAGCGAGAGAGAGAGCGAAGCAGACAGACAGATTTTCCATTTGCTGATTCATTCCCCAAATGCCTGCAACATCTGGGACTGGTCCAGGCTGAAGCCAGGAGTCAGGAACGTAATCCAGGTTTTCTGCGTGAGCATGGCAGGGCCCCAGCTGTCTGAGCCATCGCCACTGCCTTCCAGAGTGTGTGTTATCAGGAAGGCAAATCAGAGTTGGGACTCAAACCCAGCTGCTTCTGTATGGGATGCCAGAGTCGCAAGCAGCATCTTAAGCCCTGCGCTGTGTGCCCACCCCACACCACACCATTTTTAATTGGCCTGTGTCTGCTTACTGTGGCATGGACTCCTCGTCTGGGTTTTATAGCCATAATGACTCCATCTGTGGATCCAGACACCCAGGCTCAAGGCTGAGAAGGCAAGATGCAGTCCCTGCCAGGTGAGCTTGGAAAAGCCGCTGTACTTCTTCGTTTGTAAGGTACTGAGTGGAACCCGGCTGTGGGGAGCAACCCGGACTAGACTAAGTTACTGGAATTAAGACTTATTCTATGCATCTGCTCTCCCACAATATGGCGCTGAGAAGGGAGAAACAACTTCTACGCAGCTGCCTCTCGCCAATTTGATTGACTGAGCTGCAGGAGCTGATCTTGCTCCTGATTGGAGGAGAGCAGCGTACTCGGCGTGTGGGTAGCAGAGTTGGGATTGGTGGAAGAGGACTATAAAGGAGGAGAGAGACAACATGCACCAGGAACATCTAAGGGGAACATCTATCTGAAGGAACACCTGAGCAGCCCCTGAGAGAGCCGGCCGGCGGTGTGCCGCTCCCCCGCGGAAGTGGGGAATGTGGCAGGGGGAACCGCCCTTCCACGGAGGTGGAAGGGACGGTAGCCAACCCGGGAAGAACCAGCAGCAAACCCGGGGAGGGCCGAGCAGACGAAAGAACAGCGCAGGGTCCTGTGTCGTTCCTCCATGAAGAGGGGGAGCGACATAATGGTGCCGTGACTCGGATATGAAGCCTAGGCAGGGTTTAGTGTCGTTCCTCCACGAAGAGGGGGAGCGACACCCGGCCGTCCAACAGAACTTATGAAATACTTCCTATACTTCGGTCCTACCTGAATCCATATCACCACTTTTACCATGTCCTGTATAACCTGCCTTATTACTTGTTTGAGATTTTACTTGAACTTGATAAATATGTTTGCTCCTGGGACAAGGAGCCTTGCGGGCCTTGTCTGTTCTGTTTGTGACTTCTCTGTTTGCCTTAACCCAGGGAGGAAAACATGGAGCTCAGGAAGCTGTTGATGAGCACTGGCAGCAAGGAGGGCGCCGCCGGGCAGCCGGGCTCACCGAAGACGGAGGGGGCAGGCGCGAAGGGGGCTGCTGGGCTGCAGCAGGTACGTGGTCAGAGAGCCGCTCTCCTCTCCAGCACCCTGCACTGCCACCTCACACCTCCGCAGGCAGCTCCACCAGAAGGCTCTAGTGAATAGGTGGCCTGAGAGCCGTGCCCTGGAGCTGCCCCGTGTGCCTTCCGTCCCGTGGAGCATCCTGTTCCCTGGGACGGCCGAGGCTGCTGCAGGTGCACAGCTCCGTGACCCGCACAAGCTCTCTCCCCCCAGCCCTCGCTCAGAGCAGGTGGCGCGGAGCCCTCTGCTCAGTGTGGGCACATTGCCCACACACAGGCCAGCTTTCCGAGGTCTCTCTGCAGGCAGTTGAACTTGTTAGACATTCTGCACAGAATGGGGTCGTGAGTGAGGCTGAGCAAGCTCCTCTGGGGCTTCTTCCCAGCACCCAGGATTGTGCTTCCCGAGCTCAGAAGTGCAGAGCAGAGGGCGTTGGTCAGGATCGACAGGGTCTGTGGTGCCCAGGCCGGCCCCTGCCCCAGCCCGCTCCAGAGCCAGCCCTGGCTCACACGCAGGTCCCACACAAGTGCTGCCGCTGTACCCAGGTCCAGGCTCTGCCACTGCCCTCACCACAGACCTGAGTGCCAATTCTGTACCAACACGTTTTTCTTCCCTCCAGTAAGGTGATAGCTGCAGGTAGGGCCCAGTGTGCTTAGCAACCCCTTAACCTGTGTGTTAGTACAACTACCCGAATAACTCAATTCCTCATTAATATTTATCCGGACTTGCTAAGCCATGGTCTTACCTGACTCCTGTCTGCTGCGAGGTAGGCAGCTGGGACTGCTGCATTTCCCAGCCGTGGTAGCAGGTTTGGAGGGGCCGTCTGACATCACGGAACCGAGATCCCCGTGTCACTTGTCAGCCAGGCATGCTGATGAGTGACAAATGCCTGCTCGCCTCTCAGCCCTGGCCTGCGGAATCGCAGCCCATGGGCCCCCTCTCATCTTCCATTCACCCCTCCACCACTGCGTGCCTTGTCTGCCTTGTCATGGAGGTCACGTGCAGGCTCCCGCTCACTCCTGGGCTCTCTGACCCCTTCTGGGATGGAACTCGGGGGCCAGGCCTCTGCGAAGCCCTTTCAGGTCTGCTCACCTCACTCGGCTGCCCTGGAGGCTCAGAGAGAGGAAGTCAGCTGCGCAGGCTGCCCAGGGTCATCCAGGCGAGGCCTGTGTGCTGGAATCGTGTGTGTGTAGGAGGGGAGAGGGCAGGGGGCACTGTCCCCATCTCTTGGACAGGGCCCCTGACTCTCTGCACCTCAGCTTCCTCCTCTGCAAGTGGGGACAGTGACAGCTGAGGGGCTGCTTTTGATGGTGAGCTGGCTCTAGACTTAGAGGAGGGCTTCAGAGATAGTCTGGAGAGTTCCATGCCTCCCCCCCCCCAAATGTTAACATCTTACAGGGCACAGGTTAATGATCAAAACTAGGAATTAACATTGATGCCGCACAGTGAGCTACGCCACAGACTTCACTCGGATTTCAGCGGCTCTTCATGCATGCCCTTGCTGTACTGGCCTCCCCTCCGCATCGTGCAGCCGTGAAGCAGGGTTGGCGGAGTGAACGGGGAACCTTAGCTGTGGAGTTTTTCTTTCGTCCATCTCAGCAGTTTTAATGAAAGTTGTGTATCTGAGACCCCCTTGCTTCTAGTCAACCATTCCTCTCTGGTAGCTACCCCTCTCCTTTCCTTCTTGGCGTGACTTGGCCTCCCGACCAGGGACCATTCTGCAGTCTTTGTCCAGTTTGAGCCTGGTGCTAACCCCCTGGCTGGGGGCATGCCCCCAAGGCCCGTCGTGCCAGTGGCCTTTGCCTGCTGCTGCCCCCACCCTTCCTACAGACACGGACTGCTGCACCACTCGCTGACCTTCACAGCGTCCCCGCACCACTCGCCCTCACCAGCCTTTCGGATAGGCCTGGATCGAGACTTGTGCTCCTGTCATGGCTGTTTGGAAAGAGGGGAGACCTGACCTTCCCGTGAATGTGGGAAGGGGCATGGAAATGCCTTTTTCAGTTCTTGCTTCTGTCAGAAGTCACAACAGGATTTAACATCGTTTTGGTCCCAGCTGCCCCCGTGATGGCCACAAAAGGGGACAGTTGTTTTTTTAAAAACAGCAGGTGTGGGGCCAGCAGCCAGATGGGCTGACTCCAGGGCTCGCTCTTCTTTCTCCACACTGAACCTTCTCTGTGTGGAGGTTCAGGTGCATCTCCCAGGAGCCCAGCGTCCCCTCTCCCTCCTTCTCCAACAGCTCCTTGACCTTCAGTGCTATAGGCAGCAGGCTTCCGGGGGCCTTCCTCCTCCCCTGCCCCTCCTTGCTCCCTGGTGCCATGGTGTGCTTCCAGGCTTCTACCTGTAGGGGGCACTGGAGCACCACAATTTCTGTCCCCAAGCCTCAGGGAGGGTAGAAAGTGCCAGATGGCGGGGAGTATCTAAAGCCAGGGCTCAACTGCTAAACTTCCAGCTGTGGCCTGCTGTTTCACTCCAACATTTTTTTTTTTTAACATTTTCGTTTCAAGATCACTTTAGACTTGGAGTTGCAGAAATAGTCCAGAGTTCCACAGTCCCCTGCCTGTTTGCCCTGATGTCGACACCCACTTTGCAAGGTTCAGTGATGAAAACTAAAAGTTCTCACGGGTACTGTGGTGTTAACTCAGCCACAGACGTCATTCATTTGGATTTTACCCATGCCTTTTCCTGGACCTGCGATGAAACCAGAGCCCCCTGTTGCATCAAGGTGACGCCAGTCTGTGACATTTCCCTGTGGTTCCTCAGCTTTCAAGACCTTGGCACTTTGGACTTGTCCTGGACAGCTGTTTTCAGGGACTGTGCCTCAGTGGGGGTTTATCCTATGTCTTTTCTTGATTGAATTGTGGTGACGGATTTTGGCAAGAATGTCACAGAACTGCCAACCGTGTATGGCTGAGCACGCACAGGGCCGAGCACCCCGGCACAGAGGGTCTGGTGCACCATGTCCATGTATCTTAGGACTGTTGACCTGGCCACTGAGGTGGCATCTGTCAGGTTTCTCCACGATGAAGTGACGAGTGACCCGTGTTTAGTGTTGAGGAGACTGAGAGACTGCACAGGTAGACTGTCACTTGCCAGTTCCCGTGTCCGTCGGTGAATCCCACCTGCAGCTGTGACTGTGGTAGTGGTCTCGTGGTGACTGTGTTCCCTCATTCCTTCTGTACTCATCAATGGGAATTCTGTAAGGAACAGCTGTCCCTTGGCCCTCATTTACTGATTTATTCAACTTTTAGAAAAGCATTATGGACTCAAGGACGTCCATCTTGGCTTGTAGCACAGGGCTGTTGTGATTTCTTCTGCTGTTCGAATCATTCCAGCTTGGGCCCCAGGAAGCCCTTTCTAGTCGTATCCTAGGCCCCGTACCTGCCGTTGCTGTTAAGATTTTGAGCACCTCCTGGCTTTCTGGCACTATACAGTGCTCCAGACTCGCCTTGTGTTTGCTCTCCCGTGGCCCTGGAATTCATCACTTCTTCAAGGAGCCTTGTTAGAAAATGGTATTGGGTGGTAGGCGTGGTCATTGCCACTGGGGTGTCACCACTCTGGGCCCACCCAGGGGACAGAGCTAGAAAACATGTGTGTCTGTACACATACATAGATGTGTGTGCACCGATCACCGTGTGTATGTATTCTTCATTGTGTCTGTATCTTTCTAAAAATGTTTTTTAAATGTTTTTCTGAAAGTGTAGAAAATACCCAGCTCTTGTCTTGCTGGCCAGAGGACAGCAGTGTGACTGCCATGTGGGGGTGAAGGCGAGTGCTAGCATATCTTAGAGGTGGAGCCCAAGCAGGAAGGTGGCCGTTCCAAGGGGTGCCAGGTGGGGTGGGGGTGGGGGTGGGGGCGTCCATGAGTGGAACCTGGGAATCGGCCTCCTGATAGATGACCTGAAGGGGGAGCAGTTCTGACTGGGGTGGTTAGTGGTGTCCTGGTGGCTGGGAGGAGTAGGGAGCTGGGAGACGGAGGCCTGGGGTCACAGGGCTGAGGGGCCTGAGAGGAGCAGGGAGTAGGCGAGAGGATGTTTACCTGAGGCTTTGGTGACGCCCCCTGTTTCTCCCCAGGCTGGTGTGGCAGTAGGGAAGGTCCCAGAGGTGGGGCCCTTGGGCACGGCTGAGAAGAAGGTGAAGATGCTGGAGCAGCAGCGCACGGAGGTGGGTGGCTGGGGGCGGGCCGATCCTCTCCCCTGGGACTGGCAAGGCAGAGGCCCTGCGGGTCGCTGGCACCCGGGGGAGTTGTCCCGGTGACCCGTGAACCATCTGCCCGAGGAAGAAGTGCTGCTTTCCCTGGGCTGGCCCCTCCTGAGCAGGAAGTGGCGCTTGGAGCAGGACCTAGACTTGTTGGGGCTGGCGGGTGGAGTTCAGGAAGGCTCCACGTAAACCCTTGGTGGTGGGAAGTGGCTGTGGTGAGTTAGGCAGGTTTTGGCATCAGGGAGGAGTCGCACTGAGGGAGAGGATCCTACACCCTCCTTTTTTTTTTTTTTTAAATTTATTTATTTGAAAGGTAGAATTACAAAAAGAGAGAGAGAGAGAGAGAGAGAAATCAAGGCAGAGAGAGGGATCTTGCATCTGCTGGTTTACTTCCCAAATGGCTGCAACAGCTGGGGCTGGGCCAGGCCAAAGCTAGGAGATTAGAGCTTCCTCCAAGTCTTCCATGTGGGTGCTGGGGCCCAAGGACTTGAGCCATCCTCTGCTGCCTCCCAGGCACGTTAGCAGGGAGCTGGATTGCAAGTGGAGCAGCCGGGACTCAGACCTGTGCTCATATGGGAAGTCAGCACTGTAGGCGGTCCCTGCCCTTCTGCAGCACATTTATGACTGGTCCAAGGCGTCTAGAAGTCTGGATGATTCCCTGGTATCTCAGGTGGTGTTCTTTCCCCCTGCCCACCCCCCAGTCCAGCCTGGGCTGTCTACACCTCAGCTCTGAGTGTAGTCCTCTCTGGTGGACATGGATTCTGTCTGTCCTCTCTCGCTACCACCTCCACCCCAGCCCCACCTTCCTGCCCACCCTGGTCCTCCAGAACATTGCTCTTGTGTTGCTCTAAATTCTTCCTGCTCTCAAAAGAATTGTGCTGGTCATTGTAGAAGGATTAAGAGCTTACCTCCTAGAAGTACCTACAGCTGAGAACGGTTCATTGTGTGTTCCTCAGTTTTTTAATGCAGAAAAGTAAAATTGTATCATAATTCTGCTTGATACCTTTTTTCCTTTTTTCTTCTTTTAAAATGAACTGTCTAGCCGGCGCTGCGGCTCACTAGGCTAATCCTCCGCCTTGCGGCGCCGGCACCCCGGGTTCTAGCCCCAGTCGGGGTGCCGGATTCTGTCCTGGTTGCCCCTCTTCCAGGCCAGCTCTCTGCTGTGGCCAGGGAGTGCAGTGGAGGATGGCCCAAGTGCTTGGGCCCTGCACCCCATGGGAGACCAGGATAAGTACCTGGCTCCTGCCATTGGATCAGCGTGGTGCGACGGCTGCAGCGCGCTGGCCGCGGCGGCCATTGGAGGGTGAACCAACGGCAAAGGAAGACCTTTCTCTCTGTCTCTCCCTCTCACTGTCCACTCTGCCTGTCACAAAAAAAAAAACAAAAAAAACAAAAAAAAAAACAAAAACAAAAAAAACAAAAAAACTGTCCTTGAGGCTGTTTACTCATATCAATAACATACTGTATTCCTTTATTTCTCAGTACTTTTTGTCAAGTACCAGGGTACTTAAAAAGTTCGTGGGACAATGGAATTAAAAGATACGTTCATTTTGTTGCAAAACAATTTTGAAAACAAGCGTTGTGGCACAGCTGGGCAAGCCGCCTCTTGGGACACCGCATCCCATCTGTGAGTGCCAGATCACGTTCTGGCTGCTCTGCTTCCAATCCAGCTTCCTGCTAAGATACCTCCTAGGAGGCAGCAAGTGTAGGTTTAAGTGCCCTGGGCCTCTGCCCTCTATGTGGCTGACTCAGATGAAGTTCCAGGCTCCTGGCTTTGGCTCAGCCCAGCGCTGGCTGTTGCAAGGCATCTGGGGAGTGAGCCAGCAGATGGAACTCTCAGTCTCTCTCTTTGTCTCTCTGCCTCTTTCTGTTGCTCAGCCTTTCAAGCAGATACAAATAAATCAATAGAAAAAAAAAAAAGGAGAGCTGTGCATAGTTTTGTCATAATAGGCATTTTCTGGCCTTTTCCAAGACCCCCATGTAATCTTTCTGATGCTGCACAACGCTCTCTCATTGTTTTATTTATCTAATGATTTGGGTTTTTTTTTTTCTTCCCCAAGGAATTGTTACAGCAAGAATTGTATAGCCAGTAATTAGTGTCCTCTGAGAACTAAGGACATGTGTTAGATGTCTTATTTACGGAAGAGATACACGTCTGTTTATACTGTAACTTACTTAGCCTGTCTGCTTAGTGAAGCCTCTAGATTTTTCTGTAATATAAACATTGCTGAGGTGATCAGCGCCATGTGTGTTTGCACACTTGTCTAGGTGGTCTGGTCAGTTAAAGTTTTTGGGTTGGAATGATTGGGTTGCCAATGATGACAGCGTGCGATTGTAGTAGAGTCCCAAACCGCCCTCCTCAGAGGCGTGTGCTCTGTAGTTCTACAGCGTCGGTCTCCATGATCGCCTTGCTCTCTTGGCTGGAGTAAAGCCAAGTGCACTGCATGCAGGTGGTGGCTTTGAGGAGCATGGAGTTTGTGAGAAGCAAGGACCGAGGCAGTGTCTGTGGCCAGCCCTGGGCGTGCACCTTGGGGTCTGTGAGTTGGTGCTGCTTGTTTTTCTCCGCCTCTCTCTCTCTCTAACCCCAGCCTCTCTCCCCACAGCTCCTGGAGGTAAACAAGCAATGGGACCAGCATTTCCGGTCCATGAAGCAGCAGTATGAGCAGAAGGTAACCTGGGGGCTCCTGGCTGGGCGTCAGGGCACTCCACTCTTCATCTCACTGCTTCCTTCTCAGTTGTTTGAAACCTGGCAGGTGCCTGAGTTGAGCCCTGGACAGCAGGGTTGGAACCCTGGGGAGGCTGGGCCCTGTGTGTTTCCCAGGCACAGCCTGCACCCATGCCTTCACCCCTCCCTCTCCCTCCCCACCCAGATCACGGAGCTGCGTCAGAAGCTGGCGGACCTGCAGAAACAGGTGACTGACCTGGAGGCTGAGCGGGAGCAGAAGCAGCGCGACTTTGACCGCAAGCTCCTCCTGGCCAAGTCCAAGATTGAAATGGAGGAGGCGAGTGTGACCCTGGCCCCCGTGGTTTCACTCTCCCAGGGGCAGGTGGGGTGGGACGCGAGCATTCCAGCTATTGCTTTTCAAATCTTCATTCAGAGGAGCTGTTTGCTCAATTAAAATTTTACAGACTGGGGACCTCTGCAGGGAAGCATGGAACAAGCAGGCCTAGGCAGGCCTGCCGTGTGGCACTTGGCAGGGGTGGGGTTCTGCTAAGTGTTGAGTGGTGACTGATTTTGTGACACTGACCGAGCTGCATTCAAAATTCATCTGTCCAGTCATTTGTCCTCAGAGCCCACAGCAGGCACTGTGGGCATGGAGTTCAGCGTGAGTCCCACCCTCCCCAGCTGGGTAGCAGACGGTCAAGAGCTAGTTGGCAGAAGCAAAAAGTGAAAGGCTATTAGGCACGACGGCGAAGTTACAGGGACCAGATACAGAGCAGTGCAGGAACACCACCACCCCTGCACGTACACGTGTGCATACACACACTTGCACACACATGCACGCTGCTGCTGTCATGCTGCTGACGGACACAGCCCAGCCTAAAGAGGAAAGGCCATGAGGCTCTTAGGCTCTTGGGATTTCATTTCTGTCCTGATATCTTCCCCTTCGTGGGAACTGGGCATGGGCTGCTTTTGCCCAGCTTATGAGTGGACATTTCAGCGTGGATTCCGTGTTCACTGTCCCTCTGTCAGCACGCGACCCCAGGGCCCTTGTCCATGAGGTCAGTCCCCCCCTACTTTGAGGATATCTCTTCTCACCGAGTGCAGGGCCACATCCCGTGACTCGCCGCCAGACATCCTGGCTCTTTGGTCCCTTCCCCACACCCCCATCCATGGGAGAGACAAATCCCTGGGCCCCTGATAGCTCTCCCCTATCATCTGGGGGGATGGGGTCACAGCTCAAGACAGACGTCGCCCTGTAGACAAGGCTCCCAGTGATAGTGATCGAGGTCAGGTTACCCCCTGCCAGGGCTCTTAATCAGGGGGCGGAACAGCTCCAGCCAGCCTCTATTCCTGGAAATGGCTCACCAGCTGGTTTGTAGAATATTGACACAGTGACCCCGGGCTAGAGAAAAGCTGACCTGGTAGTCTACATGCTGGGAATGCATGGCTGCAAAATGAGCACACAACTCAGATAAAGGGAGAGCTTCCCTAGCCACCTCCCCGGCCCCCACTCAGGGCCAGCCCTCCCCAGCGGTGACACCATCACTGTTTTGGTGTCTGTTACAGAGTTTGTTTTTTTTTTTTTTTCACAGTTATACACCTAGAAATACAATCATCCCCCAATATCTGTAGGGGTTGGCTCCAGGACTCACTCGTCCTTGATATTAAAAGGAGTAGTGGTTGGCTTACAGCCTACGCACACTCTTCATCTCTGAGTGACTTCTAATGCCTAATGCGACGTAAATGCTCTGTAAACAGTTGTCTTACTGCATTGTCTCAGGAATGATGACAAGAAGAAAGCTCGGTACGTGTTTAGTACAGATGTAATTCAAGCATATTCCAACTGTGGTTGGTTAATCCACGGATGCAGAATCCACAGACAGAGAGGGCCGACTGTATACAGTTTATTTGAGATGCACGTGGCCTTCCCACCACACTGCACTACCAGCCCTCATTTTAAGCGCTCCCTTTGACGTGGAAGGGAGAGCGCCATGGACTTGGGAAGCCTGGGTCCAAGCCCAGCTCAGTGTGTGGCCTGAGTAGCCTTCCCACTATGCACATCATTTCTTGATGTTTAAAGGGGCTGCAACTGGGGACCATCTGGAGGCCATTCTAGCTGTGGCTGTCTGTCACAAGAAGCCCTGGTGGTGTGTATGGGAGCAGTGCCTCCGCCTTGGTTTCCTGTTAGCTGGATATCTCTTTGTTTCTTCCTTGTGCTGCCTTTGTTTCTTTTCTTTTCTTTTCTTTTCTTTTCTCTTCTCTTCTCTTCTCTTCTCTTCTTTTCTTTTCTCTTCTTTTTTAAGATTTATTTATTCATTTGAAAGTTGGAGTTACAAAGAGAGAAGAGAGGCAGAGAGAAAGAGAGAGGTCTTCCATCTGCTGGTTCACTCCCCAGTTGGCCTCAACAGCTGGATCTGCGCCAATCCAAAGCCAGGAGCCAGGAGCTTCTCCTGGGTCTCCCATGTGGGTGCAGGGGCCCAAGGGCTTGGGCCATCTTCTGCTTTCCCAGGCCACAGCAGAGAGCTAGATTGGAAGTGGAGCATCCAGGACTCAAACCAGCGCCCATATGGGATGCTGGCACTGCAGGCGGTGGCTTTACCTGCTATGCCACAGCGCTGGCCCCTACCTTTGTTTCTTTGCATTCTGGCCTCTAGGGTTAGAGACCAAGAGCTGAAAGGTCCTTTGAACTTACATAGGTCACAGGAGACCCCTGTGAGTCTGTGGAAACTCTGGTTGTTCTCTCTAGAAAATTGCACATAGATAACATTTTGCATATAATTTTGGGGCTCACGGCCCTCCTGGGGCCCCTCTGTCACTCACATTAAAAGCTCCATACCCATGGCAGATCAGTTAGCTCAGACAAGAGAAGGCTGTGCCAGCACCCAGGGCCTGGAGGAGGAGCTGGTGTCAGAATCCAGGCCCCTTCTCCACTGAGGCACCTCTTCCTGGAGGATGGGACCTCCCGGGCACTCCTGTGCTGGCCGTGGGTGCAGTGAGCGAGCGTTGCGAGATGCTGGCTGGGAGAGACAGGAGGCCTGCCTGAGTGAGGGCTGGGTCAGCAGGGCAGGGAGCCCGAGGCCTCCTGGAGAAGCCCGCTGTTTACCATCCTGGTACCCCCTGCAGACCGACAAGGAGCAGCTGACAGCAGAGGCCAAGGAGCTGCGCCAGAAGGTCAAGTACCTACAGGATCAGCTGAGCCCGCTCAGCCGGCAGCGCGAGTACCAGGAAAAGGAGATCCAGCGCCTCAACAAGGTGGGCGCCGTGACTCTGGTCCCTTGATGGCCCCTTGGATTGGCAAGGCTTCCCCGAGCCCGGCTGTAACCCACCACATCGCTGGTGCCCACAGCCCTTCAGCTGGGCAGAGGGGACTGCAGTGAACAGGTGTTGCTGTTCCTGCCTCCTCCGCATTCCCTCCCCACAGCCAGAGTGTGCAGCCCCAGGAGGGGCCTGGACTCCTCTTCCACCCAGGCCCCTGCGCCTGCTGCCTCTCTGCCTGTGCCACCTCCACAGCTACCTGTGCCTGTCGCTCGGGTTGAGGTTTAACCTCCCCTCCTCAGCTAAACCCTCCCTGAGCCTTGTTCAGGGTGCCGTTTTGTGCCACTCCTTTCACATCCCTTCTCACGTTTCCCAGGACTGCCTGTTGAATTCTCTGCCTCCCTGCCAAGCGGTGGGAGGTGTGCAGGTTGCAGTGCCTGGCCCCAGCACATGATCAGGGAATGCTGAGCGCAGCAGATGAGGCCCAGGGGTCGCGCCCTTGGGAAGAGGCGTGTGGGCAGTGGGTACCCAGAGTGGAGATTGAGTAACTCGGAGACCCTGTGGTCTGAGCCAGGGCGAGTGGCCATGGGCTGGGCCAGGCCTGGGGGCTGTAGCCAATCTACCCTCTCTGGGCCTCAGTTGTGCCATCTGGACCCTGGCTGTAATCCTTCTGGCCCTAACTACCTTCCAGCCCAGGGGCTAAAGAAGTGAGCCGATGGGAGGCAGCTTGGAAAGGAACCATATGGGACCTGGGAAGTTTGTGTCTCCACTTTCCTTCTTGCCCACGGGCCCTCACCCTGGGCACGGAAAATTTGGACATGCGTTTAGCATTCACCGGGTGCCAGGCCTGCTAGAGCAGAGCTTTCTCAGCGTTGTCTGGGCCCCTGGAACCTGTTCCCAGAGAAAGTGATGATCTGTGCTGAGCTGGAGGACTTTGGAGTCTGAATCTGAGCAGAATTTGTCCCTGCTGCTGATGGTAGGGGTTTTGGCCATGTTGAGGACATATTTGCCGTGCGATGAGTGAGGCAAGGCAGGTGTCCTGCTTTTTAGCTTGTGGACAATGTCCATGGGTCAAAGTCCAGGTGGCAGTCAGGGTGGCTAGTCCGAGGGCTGTCCGGAGGTCTGAAGTAACACGTTGACAGCCTTCGGGGGAAGGCAGTTAATGGAAGCCTTGTAAGATGCTCCAAGCTCCCTGTTTACCTGGAAGAAAGCAAGCGTTCTGTTAACCTGGTAGATTAAGGCTGCTTTCCTCTTTGCTTTATCAAAATGCTGTTTGTTGGCGTTTTAGCCTGTTTCAGTGTCGGGAAGGTAACATATTAAGGAAGAAGCAGCTGACATGGCGTCTTATCTAACTGCAGAGGAGGTGTGACTGCAAGGGCTGGCCCGGGAGGAATGCAGGGGAAGCTGAAGAATCCCAGGGCAGGGGCCTGTCAAGGAGACTGGCGCTGCCCTAAAGGACTTCATGAGCCACACCTGCTCAGAGAAGGGAGCGTTGCTCCACAGGAGCGTCCCGCCTAGCCCGCTGGTTCAGGGCACACGCTGAGTTTGAAGCTCTGCTTTGCCACTGACCAGCTGTGTGACTTGAGACAAATCGTGGCAGGGCTCTGGGCCTCAGTTTTCACATCTGTTAAACAGGGATGATGCTCCGAGTCTCCTTTGTAGTCCTGGGCAGAGGCATCCATGAAATGCTGCGTGTGGAATGTTACCAAGTAGGGTAGCATTTGTGAAATGATACTGGACGTGGTGCTCATTATGACCCGGAAGGGGGCCCTGAGAAAGACTCTGGTGAAGTCTTCATCCTGGTGATGGTCCCATCTTCCCCTCTCGCTGATCCCAGGCCCTGGAGGAAGCACTGAGCATCCAGGGCTCCCCATCCTCTTCACCAACAGCATTTGGGAGCCCTGAAGGAGCCACAGGCCTCCTAAGGAAGCAGGAGCTGGTCACGCAGAATGAGCTGCTGAAACAGCAGGTGAGCGTCTGGGAGGAAGTCAAGTGGAAGAGTGCTCCATGGGAGCTGGGACTAGGCTGGCATCCAGTCACGAGCAACCTGCAACGAGCAGTCCTCTTTCTGGCCGTCAGCCAGAGCCCGTGGCTGTCTGAAGGTTTATCCTTCCCAGCAGTGTGTCCCCAGCTGAAGTCATTGCTCTGCCACCTTTGTGATGGAGCCACCTCTGTGTCCATCCATGCTCTTGTTTACGGTGTACAGCCATCCCCTCTGCCCTATCCCCTCCATCCGTATCCTTGGAGGACTGGATCCAGGATCCCCTGCAGAAACCAAAGTCCACAAGTGCTTAAGGCCCTTAGTATTGACACAGAACCTATGCACAGAAGGAGGTGGGAGCAGGTGGGAGCCTCTTCTCCTACGACCCTGCCCCTCACCCCACCCGCCGGCCCCTCCAGGTAAAGATCTTTGAGGAGGACTTCCAGAGGGAGCGCAGCGATCGAGAGCGCATGAATGAGGAGAAGGAAGAGCTGAAGAAGCAGGTGGAGAAGCTGCAGGCCCAGGTCACCATGTCCAATGCCCAGGTGAGGGCGGCTGCACCGGGGAGGGACACCAGCCCATCCTTGCGGCAGGGCAGTGGGAGGGCAGTACCATTAGAGGGTCCCTGGTAAGCCTGGGTGTCCAGACACCCACTGGTTCTCCTTCCAGCTCTGGTGCACAGCACTGCTGTGGGACCTGGGCAAATCCTTCCCCCACCTTGCCCCTCTGTGCAGTGAAGCACTTTAACCCTCAGGCGTCTCTTGCTCCGACTTTCCACAATCGACTTGGATGCCTTAGAGGCTCAAATTTAGAAACTGGCCCTGAGCCGCCCACAGAACAGAACTAGAAGATTAGTTCATGTGGAAGCACAGAGCTGCCGAGGCTCACACGGACCCTCCTGCCCTGGGTGCAGACCGCCCACGATGAGCAGAGCTCCCCTGCAGCTGGGCTGTGCTCAGCCCACAGGGTGCTTCCTGGGCTGGCCTGGGTACAGCAGCCTACAGTGGTGGCAGGCATCAGCCCTTCCACCCTCCGGCCAGGGTAGGCCCTAGATCCGGGCCTGGCCAGGAGGCACCTGTGCCATCAGGCCTGTCTCCCTCCCTCCTTTTCTAGCTAAAAGCACTCAAAGATGAGGAGAAGGCAAAAGAAGCCCTCAGACAGCAGAAGAGGAAAGCAAAGGTGAGAGCTTGAGGGAGGAGGCAGCACTGGCCTCGCCTTACCTTCTTCAAGGAGCTACAGTCTGATGGGCGAGAGAGTGCATGTGCGACACTCTCTACCAGCTGACTAATGAGGTAACACAGGTAAAGACTTAGAGCAATAATCACACAGCCTTGGTGCTCAGGACGCACTGGCTGTCTTCATTGCTGGTATTCTCAGCCCGTATACCCACGCTTCCGTGCCGTGTACCCACCTTCCGTGCCATGTACCCACCTTCCATGCCCATGTGCCACCCTTCCATGCCCGTGTACCCAGCCTTCAGAGAGATAATATTCTAGGTAGAGGGATGTAGGTCAGTGTTGCTGGGGATGGCCTGTGCAGCCTGTTGCAGGCCCGCGCCAGACACGAGCCTTTTTTGCAGGCCTCAGGAGAACGTTACCATGTAGAGCCCCACCCGGAGCACCTCTGCGGGGCCTACCCCTATGCCTACCCACCCATGCCAGCCAGGGTGCCACACCATGGGTTTGACGACTGGTCCCAGATCCGCTACCCTCCTCCCCCCATGGCCATGGAGCAGCCACCCCCGCTCCCCAGTTCACGTCTCTTCCATCTGGTGAGTCTGTGCCCCTCCTTCCCTCCAAGACACACACACACTCTAGTTCCAGAGAGGAAGGTCAAGTGAGTGGGCCAGAAAGGCAGCCTCTGAGATTCCTGAGCAATGCATTGGTGGCACAGGTGTCCAGGGCCTGGTTCTGTCTGGCTATCCTAGGGGTGAGGATTCTGCAGCCCATAGCAGTCAGGGTCACTGGCAAAGGATGGAGAGGGCAGGAAGGGGGATGCCCTGTGAACCCTGGGCCAAGGCCAAGGCTTGACTTCTTACACCCCTACGTGTAACCAGGTTCCAGAGTCCTCTCCTTGGCCGGCTCTCTCGCTTGCTTGCTTCTTTCCCCTTCTTCTTCTTCTTCTTCTTCTTTTTTTTTTTTTTTTTTTTTTTTTTTGACAGGCAAAGTCAGACAGTGAAAGAGAGACAGGGAGAAAGGTCTTCCTTCCATTGGTTCACCCCCTAAATGGCCACTACTGCCGGCGCACTGTGCCGATCTGAATCCAGGAGCCAGGTACTTCCTTCTGGTCTCCCATGCTGGTGCAGAGCCCGAGCACTTGGGCCATCCTCCATTGCACTCCTGGGCCACAGCAGAGAGCTAGACTAGAAGAGGAGCAACCGGGACAGAACCAGCGCCCCAACCGGCACTAGAACCCAGAGTACTGGTGCTGCAGGCGGAGGATTAGCCTAGTGAGCCGTGGCACTGGCCTTTCTTTCCCCTTCTTATCATTCTTCAGAGAGCTTCTGTTGCCTGTCCCATCTTCTCCAGTCCTTCTGCCACATCCTCACCTCAGTCATCCCCTGCTCTCCCTTGGACAATGCCAGCAGCCTCCTGCCTGGCCTCTGCTCCTCTAGCTTTCTCTGTACACATCTTAACCACTGTGCTAGAATGTGGTGCTCAAGAGATTAGCGCTGGAGTTGTGGAGACCCGGGTTCAAGTCCATGCTCGTCCACTGTTCTAGCTGGATGACCTTCAACAAACTACTTACCCTCTGAGCCTTAGTTTCCTTCCTTGGAAAGGGGAAGCAGCACCCTAGGTTATTGTGGGGATTAAAGTCCACTTAACCTTTCTGCACTTCACTGCCCTTGCCTCTGCCATCGCTTGGTGCGGTTTTCCAGAGTAGCTATTGATTATTAAGTCCCAGTTTTGTCACAGCCGGAATACACCTGGTTTTCACCCTGTGGAGCGTTGCGGAACCAGAGCTCCCAAGTGATGGACTCGCCCACAGCCAGGCCAGCAGAACAAGGTGAGTGGGGCCTGCCTGCCCGAGGGAGAGAGCTTATCTGTCAGAACCGCCCCAACTGCATGTGATGTCCTCTCTGGGATCTTGGTAGATAGAGAAGAGGCCCTGTTTTCTGACTCGGGGTGGCGGTAAAGGGAGTGATGGGGACTGAAACCATGCATTTACTTATCCTAGTATACCTGCCAGGCACCACACATGTACCCGCCTGGCTTGGCCAGGGTGCTTAGCAAAGCTTCGCAGAGACGGTGACGTCTGAGACTCTCAGAGTGCGCAGCACTCGCCAGGCGGGGGTGGGGGGGTGGCTTGAGAAAGGATGGCAGATGCAGAGGCCTTAGCGGCAGGGAGTGAACGAACATGGCCAATTTGAGGAGCTGGGAAAGGCCAGTGGGGCCGGGTCCAAGAGCAAGGCAGAGTTAGGGATGTAGGCAGGTCAAGACTGTGCAGGGCCCTGCAGGGCACAGGAGGAGAGCGGGTCCGTGTCCTGAGCCATGGGGGCGTGGAGCCACTGGACATTTTTATAGCAGAGTGCGTGGCATGACCAGCTCTGTGTTTTGAGAAGCCCTCTCCAGCTCTGGGGCTTGCCACGAAAGCTGGGTTTGCTGGCCAGGAGGAAGCTGTGGGCGCTTAGTGACCACCCTCACCGCCTGCAGGGCACTCGGGGCAGTCGGCGCTGCCTCACCTGCTGAACTTCCAGGACCAGAATCCCAGCCGGTGGGTGGGAGCTGTAGGAGGCTGAGCCCATCGGCATGCAGAGGACTTTGTCAGGGTCACAGGTGAGCAGAACTGGAGCCAGCTCTGTCAGCAGGTTGTGCGAGCAGGGACTGAGGCACACAGCTCAGAGGGCACCAGCTGGAAAGGGAGACTGGACCGGTGGTTCATTTTCTCACGGTTCCCACAGAGCCTGCCTGATGGACAGAGCTGTTCTGGCTGCTAGAGCTTTAGAGCTGCTCCATTTTCTGGGCTCTAGAGCCAGTTCCGCCTCTTCCTGGGCCTGGGACTTGGAACAAATCATTTTAACATGTGCTGCACCCCAGATCCCCCTCCACAACGGAGCAAGAAGCTGCCTGCTTCACAGGGCCTGGTGCAGGCCACATGATGCATATGCTAGCTGTGCTGTGCCCAGAGCCTGGCTCTCAGTAGCCCTCCAGACCTCTGGCAGGGACTTTCAAAAGTTGATGGGAAAATGGAAGTTAAAAGACAGTTTATTTTGGTATGAAAAATTGAAATCTGTGTAATTGTTGTAATGTGCATTTTGTAAGAAAGTTGTAAAGATTCTATGTATCCACAGATTTTAGATTATTTTTGCACCAGAATAAGTTTATCATTTAACTTCACTGTCCACAAACTTTTTGAAGTACTCTTGGAGCTATTATTTTCACCGTGACTATACTGGTTTCCATGTAGGATTCGGAAACTTACTGTGCTGTGTATCTTCAAGTCTTCACAATTTCTGTTTGTTCAGGCTCCACAAAAAATGACCGCGAGGGGCCTCAGTGAGACCAGACTGTGTCATGTGGCTCCACCGTCGTCCTGCAGAGCCGGCCGACCTCAGATGACTGAAAAACTTGAGGCCACGTGTTCTCCGTGGCCAGAGCCTCAGCTGGCAGAAGGCCGAGATGGGTGGTGCTGGGCGCTCCCAGGCCCACGCAAGACTGTGAGTGAGACCAAGGAGGCTCACCCACAAGGCCCGTCTGAGCATCGCCAGGAATAACTCAGCACCCTGCCCCTTGGCTCTGAGTGTCATCCTTTGCTGAAGCCACCGGGGGACACCAGTCTTGAGAGTGGGATGCAGCCAGGATTCCCTTCCTTGCTAAGCCTTCCCAGAAGTGGTTCCAGCCAGACTCACTGTGCGTGTTTAACTTTTGCTTCAAGCTCTGTAGCAGGACCTGTCCCACATTCATCCCTACCCCTCTGTGAGGAGCTGCGGGAAGAACAGGTTTGTCGCCAGAGCAGACGAGAGCGACAGGGTGTTGTTCTGCCACCGGGGCCCTCTGCACCATAGTAGCCTTGCCAAAGCCATTGCTGCCTGGGCCAAGTCCAGGCCCTCAGCCCCGCAGCTGGAGGCTTCTGGCGCCAGAGGCCAGGAGTGGTGGCTGTCCATCCCTGGGCAGCTGTTTGCACGAATCTTGGACATAAATCCAAGTTAAAGATCAACCATCTGTGACTGGTGTTCTTTTCTGTCCTGGCTGCTCCCCTGACTTCCTGACAGCCCCTGGGGTCCAGGGGCTGTGGGAGGAGCCTGAGTTGCTGGTCAGGGGCCCTCAGTTTAAATACCTGCCCTTCACTCATCAGAACGGGGCAAGGCCTGGCCCTTCTGTGAGCCTCAGTTTCCTCCTCTGTCAAGTGGAACACCTCGCATCACTCTAGCTGCCTTGAGAATGGCGAGAATGGGAGTTGATGTGAACTGGTGTCATAAACCCCAGCTGCGGAGTAAGCCTTGCTGGAAGCCAACGAACAGAGGCCCACAGCCCACAGCCCACCGCCCACCTTCAGTCCTCTCCCTGCCCCCCTGCCCTCCCCTGCCCGCAGCGGGGCAGCCACTTGTGAGGATGCACCACAGGAGGCTCAGCTGCTGCAGAAAGGCCTTTACTGGGCAAACGGGGTGTGAGTGTGACGCCAGCAGGCCAGGCTGAAGGGAAAGGGCACGTCCTCCGAAGAGCAGGGGCGGCATCTCTGCCAGGGGCCTCGGCCTGAATGCACTAAGGGCCGGGCCTCTCAGGCAGCCTCAGGGGAGGTCCGCCCACAAGGGCTTCGGGCCCCTCCCTCATGGAGACGCCACCCCTGACACAGGCTAGGCGGCCCTCACTCTCACATCTGCCTTGGCGGATCTCAGGGAGTGTAGGGAGGTGGGGGGTGAGGGGGTGGGGACCTGGGAGGGCCTTCAGGAAGGAGGAGGCACGCTGGGAAGTGTAGTAGACCCAGAAACTTCTGGAGTGGTGGTATCTGGAGGCAGCGGGAGGTGATGGCCTCAGAGCTGAGGTCCAGGTCAGAGCAGGAGAATCGGACCAACAGCCACTTTTCCTTTGAACTTAGCTGAAAGCCATTTGTTGTCATGGGCAGAAGAACTGGAGAGAAAGGAGTATCTCCAGCTTTCTACACAGCGCAAGCAGCATCCCGGGTGTCCACCCAGGTAGACACTTGGCGTGCACCGTGCATACACACCCGGTCACACACACCTGCAGGCACGTGTGCACTCACATGCACAGTACCACACGCACACACAATGGTTTGCACACATCTGCGTCAGGCTGGGGCCTTGTGTAATAGGAAACGGGTCTGTGGTGGGTGAGCAGTGTGATGAGAAACATGGATTCCTCGATTCCTTCCTGAACAGTCTCTCCCTGGTCCCTGCACAGTGGACGAGGGGTGGGGCAGCCATCAGCTACTTGCCCTTGGCCCCCATGGCTGCCTGCCGCCTCATGTAAGCCAGGATGTCCATCTTGACGTTGCTGACTGTGGCCCGGTGGTACCAGCGCATGATGGGCACGCCATCTGGCCCCACCAGGAACTTCTCGAAGTTCCAGCGGACATCATGCATCTTCATGGGTTCCCAGAAGAGGCGGTTAGGTGAGCCCAGCAGCTCCGAGGTGGGAGGGCAGGAGTTCTGGGGCAGGGGAGAGAAAGGGGTGTGAAGCTGGCCTCCCCCCTTCCTAGGCTGCAGGGAGGACGGCGCCAAGAAGACAGCACAAGTTAGGAGTCCGAACACTGACTGCCCATCCTGCTGTGACTCTGGGAGCTTGGGAGACCCTTCACCTCTTCCTCCCTGGGCCCTTCTGGGGCCGTACCTCCAGGGTCTGAGTTGCAACAGTAGTGTGATACCAAGAAACTCCCCAGAAGCCCAGGGATCGGGGCAGGGGGCACTGGGGCCAGGAGCAGCCAGAGTCCCAGCGGGCAGAGAGGCCGCCGTGCAGCGGCTGCTGACTCACCTTCAGGAAAGTGTAGACCTTCTGCTCTTTGTCGCCATTCACATCGCCTTTCTCAAAGAGCTGGAAATTGGGGACGAAGCCCCCGCCTGGCCGGACATACCTACAAGAAATGTTCTTAGTTGGGCACAGGTCTCAGAAGTGAGAGGAGACAGACGAGGGAGGGAGTGTTGGGATCTGGCATTTATCCAGAGTGGGCAGTGGGAGCCAGTGACTGTTGGATGAATGCAGGTATAATGTGGGTCCGAGTGAGCACTCACTTGAGGGCGGGTAGGATCTCCGAGTTCTCTCCTGGTTCCTGTTTTCCAAATTGGTTGCAGGGGAAGCCCAGGATGACCAGACCGAATGGGGCAAGCTCTTCTTGTAGTGCATTCAGTTCTGGGCCAGGGAGAGAGCAGAGACCGGATAGCCTGGTGAGGGCCCCTGCCTCATCCACTGTCCTTTGTGGCTTACCCAATGTACAGCTGAAATCACTGAGGCCTGGGAGGGGAAGGGACTGGCCCAAGGTCGCCCACTGGGTGTGGCAGTGCTGGGACACAATTCCCAACCATTGCCAAGACCCACCTTGGCCAGTTGGGTGGGGGCTCTTCAGAGCTTTCAAGATTAAGTTTCCTGGAGCAAGAACTATCCAGCCCTGGGCAGAAGGCAGAGGAATTCCTTGAGATGAGTGGGCCTTGACAACCCTCCTACCTTCTAGGTAGGAGTGGTCCTGGCCTCTTGTGCAGTGCCAGCATCCAGCCGGCCTCTTGCACATGCTGTGTCGCGAATGCAATAGGCACTCTGGGCAGAGCACACCCTGCCAGAGGGCCAGCAAGCCCTTGTGGCTTTGCTTCCAGGAATTCGCCTGCAACTGCCAGGCAGAACGTTCAGTGTCGCTCCCCCTCTTCGTGGAGGAACGACACAGGACCCTGCGCTGTTCTTTTGTCTGCTCGGCCCTCCCCGGGTTTGCTGCTGGTTCTTCCCGGGTTGGCTGCCGTCCCTTCCACCTCCGTGGAAGGGCAGTTCCCCCTGCCACATTCCCCACTTCCGCGGGGGAGCGGCACACCGCCGGCCGGCTCTCTCGGGGGCTGCTCAGGTGTTCCCCTTAGATGTTCCTGGTGCATGCCGTCTCTCTCCTCCTTTATAGTCCTCCTCCACCAATCCCAACTCTGCTACCCACACGCCGAGTACGCTGCTCTCCTCCAATCAGGAGCAGGTCCCACAGTTTATTGGTTGAACTGGAGGCAGCTGTGTAGAAGCTGTTTCCCTTCTCAGCGCCATATTGTGGGAAAGCAGATGCATAGAATAAGTCTTAATTCCAGTAACTTAGTCTAGTCCGAGTTGCTCCCAGTTTCTCCCCACAGTTCAGGGTCAGATCACCCTGCCTGCCCCCAGCCCCTGCTGGCCAGCCAGCCAGCCAGCCAGCAGCATCAACCCTGCCAGCCTGCTGTGCTTAGACAACCTAAGCTTTCTCCCTGGGTGCTGGCAGGTGCCTTTGGTCCACCTGTTCCCTCAGGCTCTACTCTGCCCCAGCTCAAGACAGATGAATCAGAGACAGGCAACCTGGTTCTACCCTGAATCATTTTGTGAGGCTGATAAAGTTGTTCCTTCATGGTGGGTCTGGGATTTCTTACCTGTAAATTGGGGAAAGGGAAGAAGGGCTGAACCAGAACACCTTTCAAGTTTACTTTAGAATGAACTTGAGAAATGTGGCGTTCCCTCCCCTCCCCCCGACTCTGGGGCCTCACGGGCTCTGCTTTTCCGGGGTTCCAAGAGAAGCACTGAGGCACATGGGGCTGATGGGAGATGGGATATTCTCATTCTCCATCCCTTCTGCTTTTAAAGGAGCTGAGGTGCCCAGGCAACCAAGAAGGACACGCAGGGCCATCGTGGAGTGTGTCCAGAGGCCTTCAGACCTCAGGCTTAGCTAAACAACTCCCCCAGTCCGTGGGACACAGTGGAGTTGGGACCTGGGGCTTGGGTTGTTCTGATCACTGCCCCTTCCCTTCCCCTCGCACCAGAGATGCCCCGTGAGTGAAACACGCTCCAGCGGCAGAAACAGCTCCCAGTCAAGCAGGGGAAGAGAGCTGGTGCTTACCCACGTACTGGCCTGTCAGGCCTCAGTAGGTGGCCACGTTGACAAAGAGGACGTATTTGCCAGCATACTGCTTAAAGGGGATGTACTCCTCCCCGTCGATGGTGAGGGCGCCGTACTCGTAGATGGTGCCGCTCACGCCGCCATGGCAGTCTGTCTGGAAGAGGGAAAGACCAGCACCAGGGAGCAGTTAGAGCCAGAAGCAAACCTGGGCCTCCCTCCCTTCCCGAGTTAATGAACGTTCCCAAGGAGGAGGGTGACTGGACTAGAAGCAAGGTCTTCCAAGTCCTTGTATAGGAAAATGGTGAACACAGCTGTAACCGCTTAACAAGCACGTGGAATTAGCACGGTGCTGTTCGTAAGCACCTGTGTGCTGTAGAACCTTGCACGTGACTTGCTGTGTCAGTTACTTCTGTATCTCGTGTCACTTCAAGAACATTCACCAGGCATGGACGCTGCTGGTGGGGTCACTGGCAGACAGGGCTGAGGGAGACGGGCTGGATGGCTGGTGCAACAATCCAGGTAAATGACCCTAAGGGCCCAAAGCAGGCCATTGTGAGGGATGAGCTGGCCGGCAAGGAGGAATCGTCAGGGAGAGTGGCAGCTCTGAGGCTCCGGGTCAGGGGGACTGGGGAGACGAGGGTGCTGTCGTGAAACGGGGACACAGGCCATGGAGTCGGGAGCGGGAGGCCTGCCGTGAGGATGAGAAGGGCTAGGCAGGCTAAGCAGCAGGGCCTGCCATGCAGGAAGTGTCAAAAGGGGAAAATGGACTTACAAAGATCGGCTTATTTGGGGTCAGAAACTTTTGAAAGCCACACAGTTTCTCATAATGTGCACTGCCACACCTTTTCGAGGACCCCTCGTATGTTGGATATTCTGTGTACGTGAGCCACGCGACAGTGACCATTGTTCCCCCCATCTGCTCAGCTGCTGCCTCATGGTCAACCCTTTGGATGAGGAGGGATGGGCTATGCTGGACCGTGGGCTGGAGACCTGGGGTCCACATCCTGGCCTGCCACTTACTCTCTGTGGTCTTGGACTGGCCCTTTATCTTCCCCGGCCCCCAGTTTCCTTACTTATAAGGTGAGTGTCTTGAGCTGGATCAGCTGTTCTCACTCAGCTGGCGCGACAGCAGCACCATCAGCGGGAGAGACCTA